TGATTTAAATTCAGAGTGCTGCTTTCTTCCTTGGCTGTGATAGCATCCGCCTCGATGTGCTCTCCGAAGAGTCGGGGAGTTGTCGTGGAGAAATGTAGATGAGTAGCTCGGAGCTTAAGCACACACGACGAGGCAAATATCGGTATAAAAACAAAACTGAAAGAGGAAGGCGCTTGTGGCGTATTCGGGAAGGGTCCATCCTTGCGAGCCGTGCGTCCTTAACACGTGGCAGTGCGTTTGGGGCTGCAGTCCCCTGGGGGAAGGCTTGAATGAAATACAAAGCGCTGCTAGGCTGGTTGACACATCGTAAATGCAACTGCTGGCGTAAAGGACAGCAAAGTGCGGCGCTTTATGTTCTTCGCATTCTACTGGGCTGACACCTCTCATATAAGCGGGGGTTTGTGGGTTTAAATGATTAAGGCCTGTTAACCATGGGCAGCTACGATACCTGGATGAAAACTGGCTTCTCAAAGCACGGAGCAAAAGATTTGGTAATGAAGTAAATTCCCTTTCCAACCGTTTGGCTAAAAATGCATATTGTAAGAGATTTGCAAAGATTTTTAGGTACCTGAAACTTTTAGTTAATGGGACTTACATACCCTAATGCCATTTGTAAATTTTCCATTTGAAAGTTTACTTTTTTTGTCATTAAAACAGTGGGAAATGTTCATAGTAGTGACCCAAACTTGCTTCATTTAACCTCAGTACAAATGCAGCCTTAATTCATTAACTGTGTGGTTTTTGAGATACCTTCTGTGGGAAGAAGAGGGTTTCTTCTGAATTAAAGGCACCCCCCTCCTCCCTCAGTTTTCTATTTCTGTTTCTATACCATGAGCCTTTGTGATGGTTATTATTAATTTTGAAAGGTCTGGGCTTCCTTGAATCCCAGGAAAAACTGCAGGCTGGAGTGGGTTCTGTGTATCCAGGGCAATACAAGCTCAGCTGGTGGCAGGGGCGGGGGGTGAAGATGAAGAACACGGCCTGGCTCGATCTCCTCCTGTGTTGCACGGGTCTCAAGCTCACCGCCGAGGGCCGGGAGCAACTTTTCTGTAACTTGCTGCTGCGCTTTGAATGCTTGAGGGGCCTGTTTCTCCCCTGCCTGTAGGTTATCCTGCGAGATATAGCTGGTCTCTGACATAGCGTCTGAATTTGTTCGGTGTGAGATAATATCGGTATTTGGGTTTGAACGGCACTGGGTTTCATATTAAGCAAAAATTGGCTTTGGAAGAGTATTTCCATAGTCTGACAAAACCCAAACCTGTGCATGAAAGGCAGGCTGGGCAAATCCCAGTTCTTGAACTAAGAAAACAACGGAAAGTTTTTTTTTAAAAAAAACCCTCTTTTAAGCGAATATTGGCATTATTATTTCTGTGGTCTACTAATGAGTCATACAGGGAGAACAGGATCTCAGATTCAGTTTGAGATTCTCCAGCTTGAGATAAGGAATGAAAACAGTATAAGAATTTACAGGAAGGGAGTGGATAATGTTTAAACATTGCTCCATCCTTCCTAGAGAGACTGTGTAGACTTAAACAGTACTGGAAATGAGAGCTGAGATTAACCCGGGTCATCCCTTGCAAACACTTTCACAACGTCCCCGCTTCTGGGACGTCGTATGATGGAGAAAGTCTGCTGTTGGCAAGGCGCTGGGGAGAGCGCGGGTTGAAAGGACTCGTTCACTGTTCACGCCGAACACGAGCGAGGACGTTCGTCGAGAGGCTCTAAGAGCCCGCTGTTCGCTCATGCTGTTTACACCCCCCCTCCCCTTTTTTCTCTAGAAATGCCAGTCAGCCAAACTGGCTTAACGCCCGTGGTCTGGGTATCTTCCTGGCTTGTGTAGGATGGATGGTAGTCAGGACGACAGCCTGCAGTACTGCAGCCCTGCATGTGTGCTGAAATCCTTCTTCGTCCTGTAACTGTTCCCATCCTTGATCGTTCTGGGTGAGCTGATTACGGATGGCTTGTGGACAGTATGCAGAGAAGGAATATAACAATTTCCCCCCAAGGAAGGAATTCTTTCTGTGCTGTGACAAGTCAAATAGCAATAACGTTAATGACAGACCAAATTTATATTTGCAGACCATCCCACGTGCAGTCATGAGCTGCGATAAAGAAATAATGATTAAAAAGGGTCTCTGGTTCCCGTGCAGGTGGATGTGGGACCGAGCCGCCTCCATCACCACTGCGATTTTTTTATTCTCAACTGTGGAACATCCTAAAATGTTTCCCTTTTTGTAGGGGAACTTTTCATCTTGGAGGGCTGAAGGGGAGCTCCTTCATTCCAGCACATCAGCTACGAACAGTGCCCTCACGGGAGTACCCTAGCACAACCTCTGCTTGCCCTGGGCAAGCTCCTTTGCCTCGCTGATGCCTCAGGTACCTCATTTATCACGTTAAGGGCTTTAGCAACCAGGAGATTTTCCTGGACCGATTGCAGATAAATGTTTTCACGAGCTTTAAAACAGCGTTAGCTTCTAGAAACTTTGTGAAAAAACTCAGAAGAAGTTACCGCGTTCCAGATCTGCAGTCACAGAATCATAGAATCATAGAATCGCTTTGGTTGGAAAAGACCTTTAAGATCATAGAGTCCAACCTTTAACCTAACCCTGCCATCCCACCACTAAACCATGTCCCTAAGCACCTCATCTATCCTTCTTTTAAATACCTCCAAGGATGGGGACTCTACCACCTCCCTGGGCAGCCCATTCCAGAGCCTGACAACCCTTTCAGTGAAGAAGTTTTTCCTAATATCTAACCTAAACCTGCCCTGGCGCAGCTTCAAACCATTAGTCACGGAAAGCGATGGCTTTGGAAGACGAGCCATCAGCAGAAGAGAGATATTTTTCGTTTTAAATTATACCCAGCTTTCTTAAGAAAGCAAATTAAATTGCACTTAACCAAAGAATACAGATAACAGTATTAAGTACAGTAGAACATTTTGATTACTAAGAAAAACAAATGTACATGTCCGTAGCTGTAATTAAGGAGTGCTGTATTTGCTGTGCATTACTGTGACTCGTATGTCTGCAATACAGCGACTGACGGAGTTCATCACTTGGTTCAGACCTGACACTGTGGTTACTGTGAAGCCGTACAAGAAGACAGGAATTCAGTGCTTGGACGCAGATTGTTTGACAGGGTGTCTGACCTCTGGTGGGGCGTAGCATTGCCCCTGTACTCTGCACTGGTGAGGCCGCACCTCGAATACTGGGTTCAGTTTTGGGCCCCTCACTACAAGAAAGACGTTGTCTTGCTGGAACATGTCCAGAGGAGAGCAACAGAGCTGGGGAGGGGTCTGGAGCCCCAGGCTGCTGGGGAGCAGCTGGGGGAGCTGGGGGGGTTCAGCCTGGAGCAGAGGAGGCTGAGGGGAGCCCT